GTTGGAAATCAGTGTATAGGAAGAAAGAATGTAGGCTCTGTGTTTCAACATACTGTTCTACTGTCTGGAGTCTGACACGATGAAGGTTAACAGTTTCATTGTGGGTCAGTGAAAGCTAGAATAATTTGAGAATAATTTACATTGTACAGTTAAAAGTCATGATGCATAAACTAGAAACACATACGTGAATGAATCTGGGATGGAAGGCATTGGCTTCAAAACCCACAAACTGACAGTCATGTTATGTATCCTTCCTGTGAAGCAGCCACAATGAGGTAACTCACTATACACAAACAAGCCTACTATGCTGGCATGTAACATGGCTTAGGAAAGTCCTTTGTCCTATTAAAAAAGTCATGGCACACTGTCACCTTGCTAAGCCAATCAGGACAAAACTCTAGGAATACTGTTAGTCAAAGGAAGTACGCTGACTTTATGTTGTCTTTAAGACACAATGATGTGTCTAATGACATTAAAATTATTATTTAATTCATTTCCACAAACTTTACTGATGGAACACTTACCCACTGTGGCTGAAGCTGATGACAGGAGAGACTTGCCCCAGGAACCCCAAGCTCCCCATCTACTTGCTTTAGATGAGTCTGTGGCCTGTAAAACAGATATATTACTCTAAAATTCTGACTAAAATCATGTGATGTCTTCTGAAGAATGATTCTTTATAGTCAGAATATAGAGAGGAATAGCCCAGAATGACTACTTGAAAAAACCTTTGCCACTAGTTCCTCTAACAGGAGCTTAAGCTTTTGTGCAAAGTAGTCCAAGAGTAAAGGTATCATTTAACAACGCTGCAGGGCTGTTGCTGTTCTCATCTCACATATTCTTCCCCACAGGAGCAAACAGATCATCAAGCTGACTCTGACACATCTCTCAACGGTGGCACTGCTCCTTTGGCTATTTCAAAATGCACCTATTCCTAAAAGACATAAAACTCCATCGATTCTTTAATATGTCCTGACTAGATGATCTTGTAGGTCCTTGTTATTCTATAATTCTAATGTCCTAATATTTCTTCAGGCACCTAATCTTAAGAAGCCATACAAATTTATTATGGTTATTCTCTGTGATAAGCAAGAACTCACCTTCTTTCTCAGTTCTACATGGAGCCAGAGCTAGAGGCTTCTCTGTCTGAGTCTCCTTACAGGTAAACGTGCATAGGGAATTTCTCACAACTGCATTCAATCAAAACAGAGCCATAGAAGGCACTGAGCACTTTTTCCATTAATGTGTGGGAGTGAGTAGTTATCAGTATTCCATGTTTAAGTCATACTAAGAAACTGGTGTCTGAGTCTCAATTAATGTATCACCTCTGCATTTCCTCAGAACCAAAAAGATGAAGTATCCCAGGATACTTCAACTCTGCACTGTGCAGTACGTACATCCCATCACCTCTTTGAGGCAGGTCTCTGTCCCTAATGGAAGGACTAAACCAATGTATTTTAACCTTTTCCAATTTGTGGATGTCTGAAAGTCTTCCGGAGACAGGAACATCTTGAACTATATCATGTGCATTGAACGCATAGACTGTCAAAAATAAAATAAAAATCTCTCTCTTTTTTTTTCTTTTTTTCCTTTTTAATGAACTTCTTGCCTTTGCTCACAGCAGTCCCAGAGGTTTGGGGATCACAAATCAAAAACCGCTGGCTTGGAACAAAGAAAGTCAGTTTCACTCACTTTCTCGGAGTCTTTGAAAGACACTTTATTTTTGTGAAGTCGGTGAAAATAAGAAAGCATGAGACTTAATGCTGTAAATGCAGCTTAAGTTCCGTCCTCTTCAAGGTTTGTTCTGTGAACTGAACAAAGCAGATATGTACAGGAAACCAGATAACAAAATCATAGGAGTACTACAGCTATATAAAATGGACTAGGTTCTTACTAAGACTCTGGCATAGTTTTATTGCACCAAGATTGCAAGATCAAATTAATACCATACCAGCAAAGAGAGATTCAGCTGTTCCTAGCTCCCAAAAGCCAGTGATGGAGTCTAACTGATTCTATCCTCGTGAAGGTTCTTATAAAGAACAGTGTCAGTGTTTTACAAAATTTGGTTCTCACAGAGCAACAGGGGGAGGGCTTTTATGGAAGAAAGCATTACTCACTGAACTACTTTGTTCAGGCACTGTTTCTTCAGGCTCAGGTTCTGTATCAAGGCTTACAGTCTCAATGCACTCAGTGGGCATGTCTTCAGCCACCTCTCCATTGGAAGGCAGACTTTCAGCTATTTCTTCAGTCAAAGGATTTTCATTAATAAATACATCTCCCTTCTGTCCATTACTGGCACCCTCAGTGGCCTGTCCCTGCTCATCTTGTGAGGACGCAGGCAGGATCTCAGCTTCCACAGGGTGCAGTACTGACTCCTGAGGCAATACATCTGTGCTGGGCATTTCCATTACTTCAGGTTTTTCTTCAGATGGGATGCCATCACTTAAGTCTTCAGACATTTTCAATTCTGAACAGAGAAAACAAGTCAATGTTTTCAGACTCTACAAACAGGCAAATGACCATAAAATACCTAGTGCTTCCCAAAAGCTACTGCTGAAAAACAACGTAGACGGTGTGTACCTATGGAGCCCTGTGATACGTGTCACACCGGCCCACACTTTCACCATGCAGGACTGCACTCAAGTACAAAGAGCAGCACTATTTGTGTTCCAAAACACTGCTTGGTGATGGAGAAAGGATGTTTGTTTGTCTGGAGAGGTCAACTATGCGAACTTCCAAATGGTTAATTTCAATGATTTTTATAGAGGAAATGCCAATAGTTAGTGAGATAATCTGATCTGAAATGGCTCCGGAACACAATGACCAAGCAGCTCTTACTCTCATTTTCATCACTTCTACTTGTACAGGTTCCTACAGTCTGCTGATTGATGGTGAGGAGGATGACAAGAATCTGAATAAAGCACAGTGTGATTACAGCTGTGGTAACGTTAATGTATTAGAGAAGGGAAATAATTCGAACACATGAGAGGCATGGTCCCTGCAGTCATTTCGTACACAAGAAGCATCCACTGCTCACACAGTCTGTATTTCTTGCCTGGGGAATGCAATGCTTCTCACCTGTTCTAAAATGTCATGTAAGAATTCAATAAGAATTAATTAAACAGAATTAAGCTGTGTGACTAAACTTCAACTCTGAAGCCAATGTAAGTTTGTATGAGGTACAGTTACAGTTTTTTGTTTTTCTAAGTTTAAAACTGATTTTCCCTTGTTTACTCCACATCTTTCAACACAATTTTCATTTTAAAGTATTTTCCACAATGCTGCAATCTGTAGATCAAGGATCCAAGCACTGAGCTAGTCTTACACCTGACTAAGGAGAGGCAGAGTCCAAAAGCCCTATGAAGTGATTACCACTATTTACTTGTTGACAACAACAGCATGCCTGGCAGTGTACTTGAAAAACAAATCTTGTCAGAGTGCTGTTATTGCAAGGTCCTGTCTACACACATTTTGTATGGCACAAAATAAACTCAGGCAATCTGTCTGGAGATGCTATATTTTTCACTGACTCCTATTCAAATTAACACAGTCCAAAGTACCTCTCTGAAGGACTGAGGTTCTAGAAGGGACTGAAGAACAGGAAAAGATGAGAAGTGGAATATGACAGGGATTTATAATGCATGACAAACGTGTATTTCTATCAGTGGAACTTATTAAAATCTGTGGAATCATGCACATCTGTGGCCTTAGCATCCCGTTTATCTAATTTGGATGTAGATCAGCTGTTTGAACAGCACCAAGAATAAAACCACTTGGGATCTGTGAACTGGAGTCATAAATAAATAAGCAGTAGATGCCACTTACACTACTTCGGTTTACACTGGAACTTATTTTACCTTTAGAAAATGTGCAATTACACATCAGTATCTTTACACTTGCTGAAGTGCTGCTGAAGTGTTGCGAGCACCACTGAGTGCAGCCACTGGGCTGCGATCCGTCTGTTTATTTACTTGTTCACAGAAAGTTTGATCCTTCCTCAAAACAAAGATGATGGAATTGAGTGGCTGCAGAGTTAAACAATGGCGGTTTCGCTTTTCAGTCATTTGCAGTTTTCCATTAAAATATCCATTAAAATATTGCAAATACTATAAAATGCTTCAGTGTAGGCAACCATGGCTGTAGTTTAACACGACTCACTCCATGATGAGTGAGACACCTAACGAATATGTTTATATCTGCATTGCCTAGGACGGCCCTCTACTAAAACCAATAAAACTTTTAGATATTCGTATCATAGTTCTGTATGGGATGGATGTGGACAGCAAACGCCCAACGGCAATGCGACATGTAAGGGATCACACGCAGTCTTGCCGAAGTAGCTCATCTTTGGGGGCCGCTGTGGCCAAGGGCCCTGCAGTCCTCCGCTCAGATGAGGGGAGCAGAGCAAACCGCCGAACTTCCCGAAGCACGGAGCAGCGCTTCGGCAATCCGTCACCCGCCGGACCCCCGCACGATGCGCGGCGGCACAGCTCCGCCCTCCCGCCCGACAGCCGCCGCCGTTCGTCCTCCGCGGGACCCGGCCCCGCTGCCACCTGCCCGGCGCAAAGCAGGAGGAACTGCCGCTCCCTCAAACCCGCAGCTTCCCCCTTTTCTTCTTTTTTTCTTGCTTAAGCCCTCCGGGCTTGAGCTATCGGTCAGCAGCCCGCAGCCGGTTTCAAAAGCGGCAGCAAGAAAAGCACGCACCGCCGCTCTGCTTACCGCTCTGCAGTCCGTCGCGGCGCACCCCCGGCTCCGTCCCCGCCCCGCCACGTCGGCAGCAGCGGGGGGAGGAGGGAGCGCCGGCCGGGCACGGCGGGACGGCCGGGCTGGGCCGCGCCGAGGGCGGGCTCTGCAGCCGCTCTCCGTCCGTCCCTGCGAGGCGGCCGCCTGTAGCGGAGGGGCCGCCGCGAGGTGCCGGGTGCGCTGCGCCGTCCCGCCGCGGCCGCCACGACCCCGAGGGGGCCGACGGAGGAAGAGTGCTGCAGCGCCGGGGCTATAAAGTATGCTGAAGTGTTGCGAGCACCACCGAGTGCTGCGATCCGTCTGTTCATTTACTTGTTCACGGCAAGTTTGATCCTTCCTCAAAACAAAGATGATGGAAGTGAGTGGCTGCAGAGTTAAACAGCGGCCGCCGCTCGGAGGCGTGCCCGCAAACTTGCAGCAGTGCCCCTCACGGCTTTTCCTCTTTTTTTATTTTTTCTTGCCTCCTTTTAGGGCAAAGCGTGCCTTTCGCTGCGATCAGTACTTCCAGGGTTCATTGCCGCGTCGCTTCTGCCGCCAGACTTCCTTTTCTGAATAAAGTTATTCGCTGTTGCCCCAGGAAGCATAACACATCCTATGAATCACTGAGGAGAGCCTCTATGGGAGGCCACAAAACAAACACGATTTCTCGGAGGGTTGCTTCACAGCTAAGGATTAGAGCCGCGTGACCGACGCCCTTACCAAGCAGATCTCTGAAGCTTCCCGAGAAGGTGGCTGACAGCAGGACGAACGCCTGTATCGCTAAGGCACGCACTGATTTCTGAGGAGTTTCAGTGAGACTACAATTATCGGGGCGTGCTGGGCACTCTGGTGCCTTCCACTTTAATACAGTAGATGTATTCATTGAGAACTCTGGAGTAATCCTGAGGGTTTGCCTCTGCTTTTTAATAGTATCTGCGGAAGAGTAAAGCGTTGTCTTAGGAAGAATTCTAATGGATGAAGCTCGGCGGCTGGAGATGGCTTTTTCCTCATCGTGTAATATAATTTGGACTATGAAACGGATCTTAAAGTGCCAGTTTGCAGATTCTGTATAAGTCCATGCACGTTTTAGAAATGGAAGACGGTATTAATGAATACTGTCATAGAAAGTTGTTAAGGATGAATTAACATTATAAATGTGTGTGTATGCCTGTGGGCTAGAAGGGTGTGTTAGTTTCTTGAACTGCTGACTGACTTGTTTGAATTTAGCACTTGCGTTTTACAGTAAGTTTTCTTTTTCTTTCACTTGCTGGTAATGAATTTCACTTGTATTTTTTCCTCTGCAGTGATGTCGCAAATGGTTTTTGCAACAAAAAGTTAATATGGGAAAGGAGCAATAAGGATGGAACCTCTCTTCTCCACCCCGGATTTCACTGAAGTTTGTTATCTAAGTTGAGTGCTGTTGCCTTCTAAAAGGGCCCTTGATAGGTTTCAGAGAAAAATCACAGAATCATAGAGATTGGAAGGGATCTCTGAAAAATACTTGCCCTTTAGTGAATATAGAAGTTTAAAGAAAAGATGGAAGGACACAAATTCGTTGTGTGACTTAATCTGATTACATTTATCAAGGCACAGAAGTATGCTTAACATTTGGGCAACGTATTCATCTTCTTCTAGTGACTGCGTAAGAGTGGTAAGTATGAGAGCTAATGGCATGCAATTCATAGTAAAATGCTTATTTTTCTGTTTAATGTATGCTTAAACCTATCTTAGTAGAATGTATGCAGAGCTGGAGATCTCAGACTATGCCAGTGGCAGTAACAGGCCCTAATTTATGGAACAGTTCTTACATGTTAACTGAAAATATGTCTGATCCTGTACTCATTAGAGTGATATGTTTGCACGTTCAGTTTGTTGTGCTGTTACATTCCAAAACAGGAGTGCGTGTTTGGTACGACTGAAGGCTTGTAAGATTATATCTTTTCAGATAGGAGCAGGCAATACCATGGCTTGTAAGTAACAGTATCACGAAGTGTCACTTGTAAATCTGATTTGAATACTCTTGACTGTAATCAACAGTTATGGAGGAAGAGCTGAGGAGTACCACCATAAGGCTTATCAGCACGAGAATGAGAGTATGAATTTTTTGTATTCTGCCGTGTGCTGTTGGTCCTATCTTTCCCTTTCTTTTGTGGATTACTTCTTTTCACTTGAAGCTGAGAAAGGAAGAATGGCATATGGAATCTGCTGTAAAATGAGAAAGTAATATTAAAAATGATTTCCTTTGCTTACTGAATCACCAAAGTGCTGAATCGTGCATACACTGTAGCATGCTATGCCAAAAAGGAAGATGAGTTCCTCGGTTAAACCGTATTTAGACCTTCCGAAGATGGAATTTCTAACTAATGTTACATGGAAATACAGAGAGGCTGCTATATGCCTTTGCCAGGACAATAACACAAGTGCTTGGGCATTCAGTCCTCAGCTTGTTCCTCTGTTTTAATTCAAAAGTTCCATGTCCACTATTTAACTCAGTTACAACACTGCTGGAATGGGAGAGAGATTCTTCTTTTACCCTTAAGTGGGAATTAAAATAGGGCTAATAATGCTTTTAAAAACCAGCTTTGATAATAACTTGTCAATTAATAATAGAGCTAGGTGAAAAAAAAATGATCAGTGTAATACAAAGACCTTGGTCACTATTAAGAGATGGAGATGTTTGAACTCTGGTGTCAAACTTGCTCAACAGAAGTGCCTACTTTTGTATTAATGTGATGAAGAAAGAAAATTGGTACAAATACTGTGGTTGTTTTTTTTTTTTCCTGCTTACCTTACCACAAAGCATGAAAACACCCAGTCAAATAACAACTAAATAATGGGGAAGTTATATTAGTGCTGTATGTGAAAAAACATCTGGAGAAACAGAAATGTTATTTCTCAAACTGTCAATAGGTGGCACAAACAAGTTTTATAAAAAGTGTGGGTGTTTTAAAGTACTATTACAGAAAAGGATAGAATTACAGGAAGTTTTCTCTTTGTCTTTTCCTGAACACCTTTTCTGCTTTTTATGAGAGCGGGGATTTCAGGTAAGAAATTTTTTTATTGGATTTTTTTATTGTTTTATATTGGATTTATGCTTTTTCTAATTAGCAAAACAGCCTACTTTTATATTCTGCATCTTATTTGAAATTAGACCATGTTTTTCATAAAAGTTTATTAGCAGATGTATGATAAGCATGTGGGTAAAAAATGAGAGTGAATGGTTTTTTTGGTCAGTAAATTTGTCCAGAGAAGCTGGCCAAATAGAATTCTTTTTGTATTTGTACCATGGTCATAGTGAAGGGGGTCACGGTGTTATAATTGAAGTAGTTTTCTTTCAGTTAAAATTAGGTCTAACTGATAGTATGTTTCATCATTATGAAAGATACTTTTAGCACTTGAGTTTTGTGATACTGATAACTTTCAAAGTGCGTGTCTTTATACTTCATGATCATAGCTTAATGCATTCTGTGTTATTTCTTACGTGGAAGTTAGTCACTTTATACGGAGTTCTTATAGGACGAACTCTTCAAATCCCAGTTTTGATCTCTCTTTAAACAACAGGACAGGTTCTCCCCGTGAATTTGATTTCCGTAGTCTACTGAATTGCTTATCTGCATGTATCTTGCAAGCACTGTGTTTGTCAAGTTTAAGGATTTCAAGATACACTTTGAACGAAAAAAAAGACGTTACTACAAAGTATGATTTATTCCATGCCCCTCCCATTACTCCATTAGGAGTAATGTTCCCCAAGCAGTCAAAAGAACGGACTAGAGAGTGGTGACTATTTTTTGTTCTCTGCACTTGCCCAAATGTGTTTTGAGGGCTAAGATGGTGAAATTGAATGTAGTTTTTCAAAAGGAAATTTGGAAAAAGGCTGGACAAGTTATGCTGTGCTGCCTTGTTATGTCTTGACAGTTTTCAAGTCTAGTTTCATGCATTCTCTACAGAAGTAGAAATTAGTGGACTGCCAGCTATTTCAGTGTTGAGATATCTTAATATGGGCTGTGTGATGTCGAGAATGTGCATTGTAGGCTCAGTAGTGCAATTCTAAGAAAGCCTGTGGAATGGTTAATGGTACAGAGGTTATATTCCTCCAATGAATGGCAGCTATTACTGTCTCATTGTAGAGTCATTATGAGTTCTGTTTCAGTGTAGGTTTTGTAGACGCAAGTGTATGTTAAAAAAAAAAGTCTGCTGACTCTAGTTCATATCCTTTAATAGAGGATGACCGTACTGACCTCAAATGTTGTACTTTCCTGTTAGAGTGTCCTGGAGATGTGAGGAGCCTATGTAGTACATTGAATGACAGCAGTAATTCCATAAGTAAGCAGGAAAAATTAACACCTATGAAATCAGATACATTTTGAAAGAAGCAGACTTTTTATTGAACTTGGCAGATTTTGCCAAATAGAAACTACAGTAGTCACTTAATAAAATCTTTCCTGAGATCATAAGTCCCTTCATTGTTCTCTGAGTCCAGGGGAGAGATAGCAAACTGGAACCTTAAAAAAATCAATCTCCATGATACCTATTGAATAGCTGTTTAATGATATAACCATTGTTGTTGTTGTTGTTGTTGTTGCAGGATTAGAACAGATGGATGTGTAAGTATTGAGCATCTCCAAGGAACCGTAAAGCAGTACGGCAGAGAACATGAGATACCTCAGGAACTTTTTTATTTACAACTGTCTGTTTGCATTCACTTTTTGGAACAATATTGGCCTGGCTATGAAAAATGAACTCTTTACATCTGTTCCTAACAATTTTCTACAAGATAGTTTGGACAAAAAAAACTTCAGCCTTCTACCCTCGAATACAAGTGATCATCAGTCTGAAGCTAATTTTGGTTGGGTTGTGATAGAAAATACTACGGAAAGCCTATCATTGTCAGAAATCACAAAAGACGATGTACAAAACTTAATAACTTTATTATCTAATTTTAGAAAAGGCTCCAGGCTACAAAATCTGACACTGACGAATATGTCAGTGTACTGGGAAGCTTTTATTGAAGTACTCCAGACAGTATGGCACTCATCCATTGAATACTTCAGTATCAACAACTTAATACAACTGGGGAACGTCGTAAGTTCTCGCTTCGACTATTCAGATACTTCCATGAAAGCACTTGCACTGAATAAGGTTTTAGTCACAGATCTATTCTTTTCACAGGATGACATTTATAACATATTTGCAAACATGAACATTGAAGCCTTGACAATAGCTGATTCTGAGTTAATTCACATGGTATGTCCTTCATCTGACAGTCCTTTTAGGTATGTAAATTTCGCAAAGAATGATTTAACAGATCTGCTTTTTCAGAACTGTGACAAACTAATTCAACTGGAGACATTTATTTTGAAAAGGAATAAATTTGAGAGCCTTTCCAAGGTGAGCTTCATGACCAGCCATATGAAATCACTGAGGTATCTGGACGTGAGCAGCAACTTGCTGCGTAACAGTGGAGCTGAGAAGCGCTGCCAGTGGACTGATTCTCTGTCAGAGCTGGACCTGTCCTCCAACCAGCTGACAGAGTCCGTGTTTGAGTGTTTGCCCGTTCATATCAGCAAACTGGACCTACAAAACAACCAGATTGCCAGTGTCCCCAAGGGGATTGCTGAGCTGCAGTCCTTGAAGGAGCTGAACCTGGCATCCAACAGGCTGGCCGACCTGCCAGGGTGCAGGGCCTTTGCGGGCCTGGAGATCCTGAACGTAGAGAGGAATTTGATCCTCACGCCAAGTGCCGACTTCTTGGAGAGCTGCCCGAGCGTGAAGGAGCTGCAAGCTGGGCAAAACCCGTTCAAGTGTTCGTGTGAGCTGCAGGACTTCCTGCGCCTGGAAAGGCGGTCTGGGGGCAAGCTGTCCGGCTGGCCAGAGGCGTACGTGTGCAAGTACCCAGAAGACCTGAGCGGCACGCAGCTGAAGGACTTCCACCTGACCGAGCTGGCCTGCAACACCACTCTGCTGCTCGTGACAGCTCTGCTGCTGACGCTGGTGCTGGTGGCTGTGGTGGCCTTCCTGTGCATCTACCTGGATGTGCCGTGGTACGTGCGGATGCTGTGGCAGTGGACGCGGACGAAGCGGAGAGCTTGGCACGGCTGCCCCGAGCAGCGGGAAACCGTTCTGCAGTTCCACGCCTTCATTTCGTACAGCGAACGCGATTCGTTGTGGGTGAAGAACGAGCTGATCCCCAACCTGGAGAAGGGGGAGGGCTGCATCCAGCTGTGTCAGCACGAGAGGAACTTCATCCCTGGCAAAAGCATCGTGGAGAATATCATCAACTGCATTGAGAAGAGCTACAAGTCCATCTTTGTGCTGTCCCCCAACTTTGTGCAGAGCGAGTGGTGTCACTACGAGCTGTACTTTGCCCATCACAAGTTGTTTAGTGAGAACTCCAACAGTTTAATCCTGATCTTGCTGGAGCCGATCCCACCATATGTTATCCCTGCGAGGTACCACAAGCTGAAGGCTCTCATGGCAAAGAGAACCTACCTGGAGTGGCCGAAGGAGAGGAGTAAGCGTGCTCTTTTCTGGGCCAACCTGAGGGCAGCTATTAACATTAATCTGTCAGTGCCTGTTGAACAGAACAGAACAGAAATGTGAAGAAAGATACTAAAAGTCTTTATAATGCAGTATCTTCTTCTCCTTGAATTTTTTGTTTTGTTTTGTTTTTTAACCAATAAATACTTCATGATTTTCATTGATTTTCAATATGTTTCACTTTGTATTATAAAACTTTGTTTCTACATGGTTGCATATGCTTTGTCACTATATGAAAAATTTAGCCTGGTTTACTGCAACTTACTTGAAATGGGCAGAATGATAGCTTTTGGGTAGGGATTTTGAAACCGTCGTTGAAATATTGTAATACTGCTTCTCTCAACAGAATGAAATCTGAAGCAGTCATGTAGAAGAGTGCCTGAATTGCTGGTGACTTAGGAGATCTACATTAATCACAAAGTTTTAACATCTTGGTCATAGGACTTCACATCAAAATTAATTTGCAAGGAGAAAAATTATGCATCCTGTGAAGATGTCTAGAAGTTCAGCATTTGAAATTGTTCCTGGGTGATGTTTTCTCAGACTGTGAAATTTACAGCATGGGACCCAGGTGTAGGACTGCGAATATCTAGCACAAGGGGACAGGCACGGTCAGAAAAGAGGACTGGATGAGGAAAGAAGAGGGATTTTTTCCTTAGAAAGAAAAGAGACGGATGAGCTAGTTTTCCTTTTCATGTTTGCTGCCAAGAAGTAATAGTAACTGGACAGAGTTGTAATGCCCATGCTGTGATAGGCTCCTGGTATCATCTTGATCCAAAGAGTTCTCTTGATGAAGGAAACTAAGAGGGTGTCACAAGAATTGCCTTCATTATCAATGGCTGCATCTTGAGAAACTTTTGACTTCTCTACCTCCTCCTTTTCTTTAGCTTTATACTTTTTTTTTTCCCATACATGTATCTCATTTTAAGCTTATTATCACAACAATGCGATCTCCTTCTACGATGAGATGATCTGCATAGTAGATGAGAGAAAGGCTGTGGATGTGATTTTTACGTGGATTTTAGTGAAGTGTTTGACACTGTTTCCCAGAGTATTCTGGAGAGGTTGGCTGCTCATGGCTTGGACAGAAGCATGGTTTGCTGGGTGAAGATCTGGCTGGATGACCAGGCTCCAAGGGTCACAATGACTGGAGCTCATTCCACTTAGTGCCTGCTCACCGGTTGCATTCCCAGGGCTCAGTGTTAGGGCCAGTTTTTTTTCATGTTTTTGTCTGTGATCTGGATGAGGGGATTGAGTGTACCCTCAGTACGTTCACAGATTACACTGAGTTAGGCAGAATTGTAATACTGCTTCATGCTAGGAAAGCTCTGTGGAGAGATCTAGACAGGCTGAATCAATGAGCTGAGTCTAATTTCATGCCATTCAGCAAGACTCAGTGTACACAGAGGCAAGTTAACATTCATCAGTTTAATAGACATTACTGGGGACAGTTGGACAGTCTGTCTTCACCAAGTTATCATTACCAACTGTGGCTAACCGATAGTGTCCACCCTGGGATTACCCCCAGCAGATACTGGTGGCAGCAGGCTTGCAAGGTGTCTGCTAGTCATCGTTATTACCATGGCCATATATGTATTAACATCTGGAGACAATAAAGCATCACATATCAGGACAGTCAAGGCCATTTACAGGAAGCAGGGAGACAGTTAAAGCTACGGAGCAGTTTCTCACAAACAAGTTTCTTCTGCATACAGAAGCTAGAGGCAGTTTACTTGTGTTCTCAAGCTAACATTAGCTCTTCCTCATGGGCTATTTGCCTGATCAGGCTGTGATCTGCTTCTTTTCTCCACAAAGGCTCTAAAGGACATGGTTTACACATAGGACTTGGTAAGTCAAGCTGAAACTTGGACTTGATCTTGAAGGTCTTTTCCAACATCGATGATTCCGTGATTCTAAGAATCTGTTGTTTACAGTGGAAACAGTATCTTTTGCAGCACAGCTATGTCTTCCTAATCAGAAAAGCAGTAACCTGTCAGAGACCGAAAAAGTTTGCAATGTACTGGGACGACTGATAAGACCCTCTATATGTGGAATCAGAAGAACAAAGTTGCTGTCCTGTATAGGAGTATTGCAGGCCACTTTACCTGTATTTTTGGTGTTTTGTCTTCAAGAAAACATAGCTGGATTCCAACAAACATTCACAACTGCTGAAGATCATCATGTTTCCTCTTTGTCCCTAGAAGGACAAACGTTTGCCATCTTGAATATTAGACTTAGATGATCAAATACCAGGAAATTATAGTTTCCAAAAAATTTCGTAGAAAATTTTCATAGAAAAAAGAAGATATATTGAAATGAAATCCTTTTTGAATGTCTGCATTTTCATCACCTTCCATCTTCAATTATTATTTGCAAAATATTTTAATTGTGACTTTTTTAATGAGGTCTGAGCAGGCTGAGATCTCTTGGCTTGAAATCAAGAACTATGAACAACTCTCTAAGGATTTGTAGGGCAAGACCAAATTTGAAGCTTTTATGTCTTGTTCCATTTAGCCTCAAAATTAATACAACAAACCTACTACCAAATTGCAAGCATTTCATTCAGGAATGTGGAACAAAATATTTTCTGTACATCCTCCATCCCCTCCAACTAGTGCTTCAGTGTATGACCCATATAATCCTCAGGCAACTGAAGATGAACAGCCTTAGTATGATTTGCCCATTTCATTTGCAGCTTCAAAAGCTTCAGAGTTTTAGTCAGCAGTCACTGAAACCAAGAATTCAGTTGGCTTCTTCTGTTGGCTGGCGGATGGAGGAATGTCCTCGGAAAGTGCAGAATGCGCTTGGAGTCCTTCGTGCTGCTCAGATGAGAGCACACACCTGATGTTGGAAAATATATCTTTTAGGAGTGGAAGATTTTAGCTAGGGTTTGCTTACCATTTTGAAAAGAACTTGTGAACTAGATACACCTCTGGCAAGACAGCTGATGTGATCAAACCAAAATATGTAATTACTATCTGTAATATATGTCCTATATCCTCAAGTGAATAGTGTAGGAAAAGGAGGCTTGTGATAAGAGTGGAGAAATATTAAATCTGGTACTTTGAAATCAGAAGTTCTCATACTGTTATGCTCTTGTCCATGCTGTGTGTTAGATAACGGGCAAAACAGCTGCACATGCTGTGAACTGCTGCATCTAGCTTCTCAGGTTCTGCAGGGGAGAAGATTTCTCTAGGGATATATCAGGATATTCCTAACAATTATTTTAGCCTGTGCCATACTCTGAAAACTTCATATAAAAACAGTTTCAGTCCAAGAAGAATATTTTCACATGCGTAGGGTCATGTGTTGACCTCACACCCCACATCGCCCTCTTTGCTGGCGCTAATATCTTTGCATTTGGGGAGCTAACTGCCCTTTTCCATGCACATAAGTTATGTGTATTTGTGGCTGGTTTTACACAGAAAGCTGTAACTAACGCACTCCACATATCAGAAAAGGGTGTATGCAAATATTTTCTGATGTCAGATACCATATCAGCAGATTCCTGGCATTTGGCTAGTCATCGCAGTGACTAGCGGGAATGCTATTTTATTTGTTGCTATTATTACATTAATATCAACAGAGAGAACTGATAACATAGGACTTCACCCTTCAAAACCCAGGAAGTGTGCAGAATGAAGCAAATAAGATTTTACATATGTTTAATTTGTGTGTATAGGGCAAACCAAACCACAACAGAATGAAAGTCAGGATGCACTTGGGGGCTGCCCTGCTGAGAGCTCAGCTGTTTTTTGTCTTAGAAACATTACTAAGCATCATCACTGAAGCTCAACTGCAGCAAATTAGACCAAGGAAAAGTGCTTGAGAGGGAAAAGGGGGATTCCATGGGATATGAGGCATTCTGCTGAATGGAAGGTTTAAAGCCCATCCCAAAACCAATTTTTTTACTCAGTGTTTCAGGTCAATACATTTTTCTTTTTCCTTTCAGCAACCTTAACCAAGAGTTCCTGTAATGATCATGTTCAGTCAGTCACTGCTTATTTGAGGGAAAGCAGTACTGACAAACCAATAAATGAGAAAGCTCTGTTTTCTACAAGGTGGATCTTCGTTATGGGGAACACAGTTTGACTTCCATGCTTTGTTCCTTGTATCTGTCTATGCACAAACAACATAGGCTTGGGCATTAAATGCATCAATATCACAGTTTGACTTGCGGTGGCATTAGCATTCAGTTTGCCAAAATGACACATGGGAGTAAGTTATGACAATGAAAGAGCTGCCACTGAAATTAAGGTCCTTGATATGGACATCAACCTAGCTACTAACAACTTCTAAGAATTGTATTAACATTTAGTAAATGTTTGGATGAGTCCAACTGCTTTGACTATGTTTTAACTCAGTGCTTTGCAAGTTACCTTTAGCTGTTCCCATTGGAGAGATTTGTCAAGCATTCAGGGACAGCACCAATCCTAAGTAGCCTCTGAAATCCAGCTGAGTGCAGCTGCTGTTCCTCTCTAGTAAATACAATACGTAGGCAGAAGTGTGAAATGCACCTTGAAGAAGATTGGTTGGAAGATTGCTCATTGGTAATATCAGTTACAAAAACAAAATAAAAACACACCAGAAAATAGCAGCAGCATAAACTTCAGAAATACAATGAGATATCTGTGTGAGTAAGGGTATGTTCAGGACAAAGGATAGTATTTAGCTGCTACAGTCAAAATGCATGGACAGAAATACACTGCTTTCTTTTCATATCATGTAAAATGACTTAATCAGTAAACAGAAACCACCCTCAAACAAAGCTTTCCTGAATGCATTAGGAAAAATAACATCATGCACTGCCCTTAAGGAATTAACAGAAGTATTTGGGAGTGTTGGTTTTATTTTAACAACTCTTTCCACAATTTTCCTTATGGTACAAATTTCTCTAATTTAAAAACAGTTTTAAGGTCTTATACCTTAAGGTCTGATAGAGAAGGATGGAGAGGAAATTAAATATATTACAAATAAAGATGTAGGTACCTTTAGCACCTTAGTGTATACTGGAGTAAATTTGGAAGAAAGCTGACAATGTTTTTAATTTTGTTTACACAAGAAAGATTTTTCTGCCAGTAATTACACTGGCAGGAAAATTGGCACTAGTTTGCAGAATGTTGTTCTTAATTTGATTAGGATTATGATGCTCTGTCAACAAGAGCCTTAGTCTATTCATTTTCATCTCTTAATGTTCACCAATGGCAACTTCTCCTTTAAGATGAAGAAAAGACAGTATCAGCTGACAATCAAACTCTTGCTGCTTATTGAGAAGCACTCATGATCTCCAGTCTTGTCTGGGGAAACAGATGGCTCAGGGTGTCACGTGCAATGAGTTACTCAGATCCACTGCACTGGGGACAGCAGAATGCTTTACTGCCATCAGGTTTCAGCACAACAGTCCTTCTCACCAATCTTAAAATAAAAGACAAATTTTCTTCTAGCAAAGCAAAAAGGTTACATTCTTCTTCATAAAACTGAAAAGGTAATTGTAAAAGAGAAGTTTAGAAGGATTCTACTGCAAACTTCAAGTATACCTGGCACCAGTTGTTAGAATAAATTTTCATACTTGTCAGCTTTCTTCAGCTGAATGCCTTCTTGCATTTAAATCTTCTTCAAGGTGCTGTTTTACTGTGGGAAATAAGCTCTAAACTGAGCCCAGAATCAGCCATGATGCTCTGGTTTGCTTATACTTGAAGAATTCATTACATACTTCATGAATTTAATCTTAAAATCATTAAGATGAAATGAATCTTCATTTATTTTACTCAGCTTCTTTCTTGCTAATTAATCTTACTGAAGCATGCTAAATTAGTTTGTAGGCTCAGGGGAATTGTGTGTTTTCAGTTATTCTGACTCTGAAGTGGACTGATTCTGCTCTGTTGATTTGCTCACTAGGCTCTCACCCCTTTTCAAACTGCTAATTGGATGACCACTCTATTGGATTTCTCCATCACTAGATTGCCTTCTATTGCTTTATTCTTCATGACTGTCCTACAGCTTTCATGTTTGTACAACCAATGAATGTACAGATGCTATAATTATGAGATGCACCAGAGAGCTTAGCTGCACAGCTGTTACACCAAAGCAGAAAAGGTAGGATGCTTACCCATATCCTGGGCTCACTTATGAAATTCCAGCACAGTGGATCTTCAGAAGAGATCCCTCCCCTCAGTAGTAAGCCCTTAAAGGGTCTAGGAGAGGTGCAGCCAGGCTCCACCCCTTCCAGCAGCACAGGAGAATTGCCTTCACCTGTGCTCCCAGGGCTGACTCATTGCTCACCTCAGGTGCTCAATCAGAGGTTCAGGCAGTGATTCAGCAGTCCCCCTGTGCTGTCACATTGGCAGGTTTTTTTTTGTGTTGTTGTTTTTTTTTTTTTACAGTACTTTTGAATTAAAGTACAACGTGGGGTTTCCCTGGTTTAAACATCTAAGCCATATCGAATGTAAAGGTGACTGACCTGTAAAAGTTTTGAATTGTGTTGGTTTACCCAGCAATATTTTTTGAGATCTAAGCTTCTAAGTCTGCTAATGTGCAACAATACTTAATGTGCCTGCTGTGGGAAACAACTCAGAGGGGTAGAGATCTGGCAAGGGTTTTGATATGAAGTGCAGTTGTCTGTAAAAGTTCTGCTTCCTCTTTTCTGTGCATGCAAAAGAGGAGATGCAGTTGATACGCTGTGTAACCAACAGAAATGGACAACGTTAAAAATGCAGAAATACTTACATAACCTTACTTTGGAGAACAGCAGAAAGACTTATTTCCTCCTAAACCATACAGATAATTAAACGTTGCAGAAGCAAAACTACTTTGAGTTTGGATTGTTAAAATTTTCCTTTCATTATGCTCTTAATACCTGCGTTGCAGGGAAATTTTATTATTACTTAGCATTATGCAGCCTCTACATAAAAGCCCGTTCTTCTTATTTCCTGGCATAGCAGTCAAGGGACAAGCATCTTGTGTGAGATTCTCCAGCTTGAAGATTACATATGTTTGAAAACCTGTTTTGAGGTTGTTAACTGAGTATGCAGTAGGCAATTGCTGGCTCTTCACTCAGAAATAAATTCAGTCCATAAAAGGTGGGTGATACTCTCTGCTTTGTTTACTTTTTTTCTTTTGTTACATGTCTTGTGGTATCTACCAGATCTCAGGTGCTCCTGCTTATTCTGCCTTTTGAAATTTCTGTGGAATTACTCAATTTTATCTTGAATTTCAACATAGAAGAAAGAAAGAATTGGTATGGCAATTTTGTTTCTCAACGAATTCTAATTCAATACCATTCTTTAATAGTGTTGGATGGGTTGCTGCTGATCTTAATATTTTTCCATCAGACAAATCTGCTTTATTCTTTATGTTTGGCACACTTTGGGGTTATACTGTGTGGGCTGTCCTTTTTTGCAGTGTATAGAAAAGTATACACTGTAAATTTAAACTCGTACTAGCAGAGCATGGACCAGAGGATGTTTTCCTTTTTTTTTTCTCTCTTCAGAAAAATATCTTGCTTTTTTCCTTACTCAGCAGCTCCCCAAAGTTTCTTTGATTCGAGAAGTTTTTTGCCAGCCTGGACTCTGACAAACAAGATCAGCTACTCTTTGAAGAAATCTGGGTCCTTGTCTTGGATCTTCTTCTAAGTCATATTGTACTTTGGCCAACAAGTTCAGCTTCATTTAAGATCTCTGTGGTCAGATACCCTAGCACAGCTTTCTGAAGACTGAATTCAGCTTCTCAATTGAATTTTACATGGATTTTGTAGAGGTAGCTTTACACTTTAATGATTCTTTATTTTAGCGCTCCTGGTGAAGTTAATTACATATCTTTTTGCTTTAGTTTTCTGAAAGAAAATTTGATGAAGCTTTGCAGGAGATTCAAAAGGGAAGGAATGACTTTTGATATCAGGCAAACAAGTTATTAGCAACCAACACCTAGAACTAAAAATAAAAGAATGAACATTTAGTTTTTATTAATAAAATATTACCTATTTGCCTAGGGGAATAATTTAAAAACCTTTTTTTTTTTTCCCTAAATAAAACTACTGGAGGAAAAAAACCAAGACATTTTCCCTCCTGAAAGAGTTTCAATCATTTGTACTTCTGCGTGTCTGCCTATTGCATCTGTGTTTTCTGTATCATCCTGTCTTGACACAAGAGTAGTGCCCAGCGCATATTTTTTCATAATATGACTGATGCCTTTCCATCTTTGTAGATTGTTGATAGGCTTGACCATTTATTCATCCCACTGGACCGTTTTCCATAGCCACAAAAATTTTCCTCCCTGGTCTGTTTGATCTTTAGAATTAGAATCATTGTCTCTCATCCTAGATGAGAGCCCCTAAAGAGACTCTGTTTCGTTGTCAACTATGGGATAGTTTGAAAAATGGAGGAAATTTCTTAGGACACTATGAAGTCTTGGAATCTTTTGAAGGAATCTTTATAGGGAGTCTTCAGGTATGCTGTAGCTTTCCTTTTCCTGTTAGTATGCTTTCAGATACACTGGCATTACCACATTCACATAAATTACGGTAAAATTCCTCAAGCTTCTTGGCTTACTGAAAAAAAAAGACGCGTCTTTGTGTTTCACTGGGGTGTTTCTTTGAGGGTTTGCATGGCCATGTCTTAGCTCTCTGGGACGTGAAGAATATCCTTTCACTCTTTTGAGTAAAGATGTTTCTTTTGCACTGGTTCCTGTGGGAGTCAATGGAACTTTTGAAGGTTTGCCCCAAGTGTGTCTGGACATGGAGCACAGGGAAAAAGCACATGCCAGGTTTGCTGTGTTCTCCTTTACTCCCAAACATATTACAAAATCAAAGAATCATTAGAGTTGGAGGGGACCTTTAAAGGTCATGTAAAGGTCTCCATATTGATATCTATTTGTATAATTTCTGAAGATAATTGAGAAATTCTTTAACATCTCTGTATTTTTCAGACATACCACCAATAGTTCTCCTGCCATTATATAAAAATTTGTCTCTACTTAACTCAGAAGATCAAAAACTGGAATTTTTGATAATTTTTTTGGTAATGTCTTAGAGAAAATATGCAAAAATATTTTTAATTATGTAGTTTTTGTATTATATTTTATTTTAGTTGAATTTACTGTTTATTACAATTCAAAGAATTCAGGAAAATCTATGTATTTTCTTCTCATAGGTTGGACTCCTTACTGAGGCATATTGAACAGAAAACATACATGCTTTTGCGTTTCTCTGAAGAACCAAGAAAATTCTGAGACACATAATGGGATCTCTTACAAGTATCTATGTCTTTGCTTGTGTGTTTTTATCCATATTTTGGAATAATATCCAGTCAACTGTGGAAAATAAAATCACTGCAAACTATTCAGGACATCTACTAACTAAAGTTCCAAAAAACATTCCAGTCCATACTCATGTATTAGATTTATCACATAATAGGATCTCTGAAATTACTAACTTGGAATTTATTTCTCTTCCCGACCTTCAAGTATTAAATCTTTCTCATAATCTAATTACAGAGCTTGACTTCAGTGTCTTCATATTTAATCAAGATTTAGAATACTTAGATTTATCTCACAATAACATTTGGACAGCTTACTGTCAAATGCTCGCACGTCTTAGACATTTAGATCTTTCTTTCAACAAGTTCACTGTCTTGCCAATCTGTCAGGAATTTGAGATCATGTTTCATTTGGAATACCTAGGATTAAGTGCCACGATGATACGAAGGTCAGACTTCAGATATGTGACACATTTGCAGCTGAACACTGTCTTCCTAACCTTAGAAGACTTTTCTCTCTATGAGCCTCTAAGTTTAACAGCTTTAAATACAAGGAACCTTCACATTGTTTTTGCAGCAGACCAAAACTTCAACTTTTCCCTCTTATATGACGGAATGAGCACTTCAGAGAAGTTAAAAATATTTAATTTAATATACACCTTGGGCCACAAAGATTTTCCCTCCCCTTCTTTAGAGCTTCTGAAGAACACCAAAGCAACAGAGCTAATGCTTGACACTGTGGACTTAGAATGGACAGTCATTCTGCAAATTTTTCTGCTAGTTTGGGACTCAACTGTGGAGCACTTAACTGTGAGAAATTTGATTTTTCGGGGACCAGTGGTAGAGTTCACTGAATATAAATTTGTATCCTATTTAAGACCCCTGGAACAATTTCTCTCTTTGGGTGGCTCCATGAAAGCACTAACTTTGGAGCGTGTTCGAAATAAGTTGTACTATTTCAACCAGGAGATTGTGTACAGATTGTTTTCAGAGTTGAATATTGATAATTTGACAATACATGATGCATGTATGCCACACATGCTTTGCCCCCAAAAAACAAGCTCATTTCAGTATATAAATTTTTCCCGCAATGCCCTGACAGATGAATTGTTCCAGAATTGTGACACTCTGACAAATTTAAAATTACTTATTTTGAATAGGAATAAATTTAAGAGCCTTTCCAAGGTGAGCTTCATGACCAGCCATATGAAATCACTGAGGTATCTGGACGTGAGCAGCAACTTGCTGCGTAACAGTGGAGCTGAGAAGCGCTGCCAGTGGACTGATTCTCTGTCAGAGCTGGACCTGTCCTCCAACCAGCTGACAGAGTCCGTGTTTGAGTGTTTGCCCGTTCATATCAGCAAACTGGACCTACAAAACAACCAGATTGCCAGTGTCCCCAAGGGGATTGCTGAGCTGCAGACCTTGAAGGAGCTGAACCTGGCATCCAACAGGCTGGCCGACCTGCCAGGGTGCAGGGCCTTTGCGGGCCTGGAGATCCTGAACGTAGAGAGGAATTTGATCCTCACGCCAAGTGCCGACTTCTTGGAGAGCTGCCCGAGCGTGAAGGAGCTGCAAGCTGGGCAAAACCCGTTCAAGTGTTCGTGTGAGCTGCAGGACTTCCTGCGCCTGGAAAGGCGGTCTGGGGGCAAGCTGTCCGGCTGGCCAGAGGCGTACGTGTGCAAGTACCCAGAAGACCTGAGCGGCACGCAGCTGAAGGACTTCCACCTGACCGAGCTGGCCTGCAACACCACTCTGCTGCTCGTGACAGCTCTGCTGCTGACGCTGGTGCTGGTGGCTGTGGTGGCCTTCCTGTGCATCTACCTGGATGTGCCGTGGTACGTGCGGATGCTGTGGCAGTGGACGCGGACGAAGCGGAGAGCTTGGCACGGCTGCCCCGAGCAGCGGGAAACCGTTCTGCAGTTCCACGCCTTCATTTCGTACAGCGAACGCGATTCGTTGTGGGTGAAGAACGAGCTGATCCCCAACCTGGAGAAGGGGGAGGGCTGCATCCAGCTGTGTCAGCACGAGAGGAACTTCATCCCTGGCAAAAGCATTGTGGAGAATATCATCAACTGCATTGAGAAGAGCTACAAGTCCATCTTTGTGCTGTCCCCCAACTTTGTGCAGAGCGAGTGGTGTCACTACGAGCTGTACTTTGCCCATCACAAGTTGTTTAGTGAGAACTCCAACAGTTTAATCCTGATCTTGCTGGAGCCGATCCCTCCATATGTTATCCCTGCGAGGTACCACAAGCTGAAGGCTCTCATGGCAAAGAGAACCTACCTGGAGTGGCCGAAGGAGAGGAGTAAGCGTGCTCTTTTCTGGGCCAACCTGAGGGCAGCTATTAGCATTAAGCTGCCAATAGCCTTTGAAACAGATGAGGAGCAAAATGACGTCACATCTACTAGTAGTATGACCCAACGTCTGATTAAGTGACTTGACTATCTTGCATTATTTTTCACTAATCAGAGTTTTGTAGGTTTTCTTTTTAAACAGTATTTTTAGGTTCTCACCTAAAATGTTGGTAAGCCTTCCTAAATTGCTGTTACTTATTTTACTTGTGCAAGTAGTCAGTTTTGTTATGATCACATAAAGAGTGAGAGAGAAATTTTGCTAGTGACTGCACTTATTTTTTTTTTTTACCCAAGTTGCTTTAATTTTGGATGTATCCCATTGATTCCAACTCTATTTGAAAGTAAAAGATACTCATTAATTCAGTGCTGTCAGGAATATTAAGGTCATGCCCTTAATCTTTTCTCTGACGAAGATGTTGTGGAGTAAATGTGGTAGGGATCTACTTCCTTTAGATCTAAATAAATTGTGCAAACAAGAAGAAAATTCTTGTTTATAACCACTTATATGCCAGTATAATAGATGTCAAGGGTACAGTATCTCTACACCTTCAGACCTGTCTTTTAATTACCCCAGGTTCATGCTCATTTCTGGCAAGCTTTTCCCTTAGTCAGAGACAGAGACTGTCCTGGGTAGAAGCTGGAAGTTGGAGCCATAATACCTGTTTAATATCCATCATACTTCGCTATGCCCTAACTTCCATTTGCCTAGACTTACCCATTAAGTAATGATTTCATGGAATTCACCACTGGTAGTCTTCAAAATAACTGTTAACTTCTGAATTTATGATTTTTGATACTATTAAAATATTATTGTTTCTACTGTATTCATATGAAGCTGTATGGTGTTATTTTGTATTTTTTCTGAACTACAGTTATATATATCTCAATCATATTTTCTTATCATGAGCTCTTTCACCTTTGAGGGCAAGAAAACAGGAAAAAAATGCCTCAGTCTATTACAATTTGATTACAAGAAGTTCTCTCAGGTGCATCACTGTCATTCTTCTGTTAAATTACAAAATATATCTTCTTGCTCTCTCTCTGCAGCTGTTATAAAGTAGTTTTGTAGGTATTTAGAGTATGTCACATGGTAATATTGCAGGAAAACCCCTATTATTTATAGAAAGTTGGTAACACTGCACGTGAACAATAGGAAGCAGAACTTGCACAACCATTGAGAAAGAGCTGCATTACCAGAACTGTCACTGAATTAGGTCATTTCTCGTTTAAACTCAGAAGACTGATATTCTGGGTTAAATCCCTTGTTATCTCTAGGAGACATCTAATCACTTGCTATGTGTGACTTTAATTTGATAACCTAATGCATGTTTCATTTTTGTGTGTTCTTAAACCTACCTGCTGTGGTATGTCTGGTGGCCAGGAGTTGCACAGTTGCCTTCCCCAATTGGTGGAAGTGAGAGGCCCTTGGCTGCTGCATGTGAAGTGAAGGAGGACATGATCCCTCTCACCTGCTGCTAACCCTGCAGTGGGAGCTGGAGGATGCTGTGGCTGACAAGCAGGTTGTCTGGGGAAGGGAGCTGTTTAGGTGCACCAAGGGGCCTGCAGGATTTCATGAGGGGAAGACCTTGCCCTGACCTGTATGTCACCTCATGGAAACCTCTGAGAAGCCCAGGCAGCAGGCACCAAGGGCTGCCAGATTCACAGCAGTGACATCCAGTGAGGCTGCAGCCAGGAGTTGCAGCTAGAGGTGCTGCGTGTCCTCCTCAGCAGGTTTTCTCCACTTGCACATCCTCACTACGTGCAGACTGTTCACTTCCTCAGTAACACTGCTGTTAAGCAGCTGCCTGGCTCAGCCTTAGCGGCTGCTTCATAATGCCTACAGCCAGAGTCTGTCGATGATTGAGGGTCTGAAAAGCTGCCCAGCTCTCAGATGCGTAAGGACTTGTTCAGAAATACAGGCCAGTGCATTGAACTGGTCATGGGCTTTGCAGCCTTTACCTCTCCTGGGCTCATCTGAGCTTTGCAGCCCAGAACACTACCAGAAATCCTCCTAAAATGCCCTTCTCTAAACCTTTATAGTCTAAGGGTATAAAAAGCATTCGTATTTTGCACAAATCTTGCAACAAGTACACATGCTGTTCCTGTTCACTAGATGAGAAAAGAGGAAGTAAAATTTCTCAAGTCAGACTTTCCAATGTCCATAGATTTTACTCAGCAAGATTTCTAATTTTTTTTTTAATTATTATTTTTTTTTTTTTAAATGTGCATTCGTAGGGATGTTTCTTGTAGAGTTTTCAAACCATACAGGATACAGGACGTGAATAGTTGGTTGAAATGTTGAAAAACAGCCATAGTAATGTCTGTATTTATAAAACTGTTTTCAAGAACTTCCCTCACTGAAATCACAGGACTGAAAGCATATATGAGAACAACGTCTTGTACTGATTTTGTTAATGTTTGGACAGACCAGAATTTTAACTTTAAAGGGTGTGTTGAATGCATTTTCATGCCTGAAAAGCACAAAATCCATCTTGAAACCTTCCACATATTTCTGCATGTCATGAGATCAGACTCTGACAGAAAATAAGACAGAAGTAAGAACTTTGTTTCTTAATTGTGAGTGAAGAAATATTTTCTTAAAGTGCATTCCAGAAGGCCCTTGACAAACTTGAAAAGTGGGCTCATGTGAACCTGATGAGGTTCAACTTAACAAAATGGAAGGTTTTGCACTTGGGCTGGAGCAGTCCCAGATATGTGTACTGGAAGAACTCCTTGAGAGAAGGACCTGGGAGTCCTAGAGGATGAAAAACTAAACATGAAACAGTAGCATGCTCTTTCAGCTTGGAAGACCAATTGTAACATAGGCTCCATCATAAGAGAAGTGGCCAGCAGAGGCTGGGAGGCAATTGTCACTCTCTACTTCGCCCTCATGATTCTCCATCTACAGTACTGCATTCAGGTCTGGGACCCCCCAGTACAGGAAAGACATGGAGGGTGTCCAGGGAAAGGCCACAAAGATGATCAGAGAGCTAGAACACTTCTCCTATGTAGACAGACTGAGGGAGCTGGGCTTGTCTAGCCTGATGCAACACAACAACATAAAGCAATGACTGCAGAATAGCAAGGTTCTAGGCTGCAACAAGAACTTGCTCCAATAAAATAGCTATGGTCACAGGAAAAAAAATGTCAGCTTACCTTCAGAAGACGTCAGGTATGCAGTTCACCAGCAAGAGGCCTTTACCTCACTGCCAACCTTAAATGAGATCTGGGAAGGGGTGGATTCTCACTCCATCGTTTCCATTCACCAGGTGCACTGCATCCTGCCTTCCTACCAGGTGCTCAATCACTGTTTCAAGCAGTGACTTAACATTTCTGCTACACTGGGAAAAGAGAAGGATGTGGGGAGACCTCACTGCAGCCTTCCAGTATTTAAAAGGGGATTATAAACAGAAGGGGAATCAACTTTTCACAAGGGTAGATAGTGATAGGACAAGGGGGAATGGTTTTAAGTTCAAGGAGGGAAGGTTTAGATTTTACATCGGGAGAAAGTTCTTTACTATGAGAATGATGGAACAGGCACCCCAGAGAGGCTGTGGATGCCCTGTCCCTGGAGGTGTTGAGGACATGGTTGGATGGGGCCCTGGGAGCCTGATCTTGTACCACATCTGGAGGTTGGTGGCGCTGCATGCAGCAAGGGTGCTGAAACTCGATAATCCTTGGGGTCCTTTCCAACACAAGCGATCCTGAGTCTTGTCAGCTTAAATTTGCTATTTTTCTCAGATAAAGGGTGACACCCAGTGGCCGATTGAGTTATCATGAAACATTTCCCGAAAACGATCACTCATGCTAAAATACATACAACATATTTTTCCTCTTTGTATTAAGAGTATATATCTTTCTCCTCCTCCCCCCCCCAAAAAATTAATTAAATAAATAAATAAAAATCTAAAACAAGTAATTGAATTAGTCCAGCAGACTCAGGGGCCCTTTGAGGTGTGTGTGGCACATAACAGAAACTCTGAGTCAGGAGGTGCCTCTCCTGCTTGCTGATCTTGTGCTGGTTCAGTGGCTGTGGGTCAGTCCCCTGTTCTACTTTGCTCTTCCTGAGTGGGCTGCAGGCAGTGTGTACTGCTTCACTGACATACGTGATCTGTTGGGCTGGGACTCCTCTCCTGCAAAGAAAGGCTGAAAGATTGTCAATGGTCAACCTAGCGAAGAGAAGGCTCCAGGAATTTGGAACTGGATGGTCTCTAAAGTCCCTTCAAACCAATCCATTCTGTGATTCTGTAAGTCTACAATATGAGCACTAGGCTGCTTTACAATGAGCTGTCTTTATTTTCAAGGGGAGCATGAAGATACACAAACTGACTGTTTTCTCAAGGTTTTATTTTCTTGCCTCATTTCTGCTATCCCTGCTTTCAATTCTGTACTTCACCAACACTGCATTTGCACTCACTCTACAATACACCAATATCCTGGAAAAAAAACCAAAAACTTCAGCAAGAGTGGAAAGGAATTGTTAAAATGTGTACAATGAATCTTTGTTTCTAATAAAATGCTTTTAAATATAAAAGTATAGGCATAATATACTTCTTCATGAAGTATCCAGTTTGACTGAACGTTGTCCAAAGATTTATTTTCTACAGTTCTATTTTGGGCATTACTGATCTTGTGATCTCCCTCACCAGGTTTAGGAGTTTAGAGCAGACCATGAACTCTCCTTGGCTCTGGCCAAACCTCAGACAAGGTGTCAAAGCTCTCAAATCATCATTTCCCCACACTTCTCTGTGACAGCATACCGCTTGATTATCTGATCCTGTTGACAAGAACTTATTTTGCATTACCTAATTGTACAGTTTACAGGGATGATAAATCCCTTTCTGTACTTTTGGGTAAACATTCCTTCCAATAATGAGTTCTCTCTCCCCCCCTGCTCCCCCCCCCCCCTATTTTTTTTCTTTTTTTTTTTTTTTTTTTTTTTTTTTTTTTAATCTTTCTATGGTAAAATATAAATAATTGAAAGGACTGACACGAGAATGTTGAGGGTAACAGACATGGTAACAGTTAGAGAGGGACAAGTACCTGGTTTGACAGAAACCTACATAACTTCAGAGAAAGCTGAGTAGTTCTCTTGAAAATCCCCAGTTTCTTGGAAAATATCTATATCTATAGAGACAACTACAGCTATAAATTTGTTTAGCATCCATCAGCCTCGATCTGGTCGCTTACAGTAATGTTTGCTAGAGGGTGTGAGCTTGGTGTCTCATGGCTTGTTGGATCATTACAAGGATGAGTCAGAGCTTCTAGCTGTCGTTTAACATCCATTGGAGTCTCCAAAAAGACACGGTGCCAAAATAACTTCGGACTTGCCAGAGAGTTAGAATCCACTCATGGCATCGTCTGGCCTGTGCTCTCATAGCCTCCAAGGGAAGGCTGGCTACATGGTGGCCCAGGCTGGGTTGATATTTATCCTTTCCTGAAATGTGGCTTAACATTAACAGGTTTAGTTTATTCTTCTTTGTGAACATCTTCAGATCCTTTAAGCTCTGGCATATTTTGTACTCCAGCCAGTAAAACAAATGGCACATGGTCTCCATATGGACTAGCATACTCAGCTGTCCCCTGCAGTGTTTTGTTTCAGCACCACCACCAGAATGCATGGTGGATGGCAAGGAACATATTAGAGATCTGAACTATTGCTGAGGATCGGCCCTTCCTTCCTTCCTTCCTTCCTTCCTTCCTTCCTTCCTTCCTTCCTTCCTTCCTTCCTTCCTTCCTTCCTTCCTCCCTCCCTCCCTCCTTCCCTCCTCCCTCCCTCCCTTTCACCTCTTTCACACCTCTACAATCCACATCTCCCTTCGTTTCAA